AGATCCGATTGGGGCTCAAACTTTGTCTGAATTGAGATCCATGAATTCCTACGCACTCATGACAACACGAGGATCATTCTAGGACTGAGAGTGACCTCACCAAGTCTCCCATGCGCTGCCACACGAGCCGGCAGCGCGTGGGTGGCTTGATCAAATTCCGGCAACTGGAAATCTTCAAATCTAGAAACTCAGCTTCGTATCCTAGGTAAAACACCCTATTTGGAACCACTTTTGTCTTGGACGTACCTCAAAAAGTGACCGGCAATGGCAGGAACCGCGATCCCAAAACCGGCTGAAATCCAATTCGAAAATCAAACTACCTAGGCTAAAAATTGATAAATTCCTACTCAACCATCAGCTTGATCATGAAAAATAGGTGAGAAAGCATACCTCACTCGCATGAAACGGTGGCCGGAGGAGGGAGAACGAGCCGTTGAAAATTTACGAAAAAAACTATCCAAAACCACATGTTTCTTGGCTGTTTCCGGCGACTACGGCTGCGGATCGAGGCGGCGAAGGGCTGGGGCTAGAAGAGGGAAGTGTGGTGGTTCTAACGGGACCGGTCTTGCTTGAATTCGTGGTCGGAGTTGAGAGAAATCACCTCTTGAAGTCAGCTGGTCCAGCTCCCCCAAATGCAGAAATTCTGGGTTTAAAAAAAGCTGAACTTCTAAATATTTACGATTAAGCCACTACATTTCTTTTGATCCCCATTTCTTCGTTAGAACTCCGATTCGAGTCCACTACGTGTCTACTGACTCATTTCGATGTGCTCTATACAACAGTCCAACCAGAATTTCCAAATTCCTTCCCGAACTTAAAATGACCTTTTTGCCCCTTTTTATATTAAATAGGCTTAATTATGTACATGCCCCCGGTGCTTTCCAACTTATCTCAGATTACCACCTATGTTTGCAAACGGCTCAAAGTAACCCCCCAACATTTAAAAAACCCATCAGTTTTTTTGAAGTTATGAACGTTACTGTTCATCTCCCCCAAAATTCCAGAACAGCAACCCATCCCCTTTGTTATTGTTCATCCGACCAGTTTTTGGGCTGCCATCTCCTCCTCTGGCCACCCCAAGCGACGACATGGGTATCAAAAAAATCAGCACGTTATTCTCTACCACCCTCACATCTCATCCGCTACCAACCGCCGTCTGGATCGCCGAAAAAAGCAAGAAATTGGCCAATTTTTACCCAAAATCTCCATCGCTCGTTCAGGCGATTTCGAGCACCATATGCTTCGATCCAGGTATGGTTTTTCAACCTCTCGAGCTGTTCTTGCTGCTAGTTGTGTTGGTTATGAGAAATTTCTGAGTTTTGGAGGGTAAATAAGCGATGAACAGTAACAAAAGGGATGGACTGCTGTTCTAGAATTTTGGGGGGATCAACAGTAACGTTTGTAACGGAACTTCAAAAAAACTGACGGAAAGGGTAACGTGAGACGGTTTTTTAAACGTTGGGGGGTACTTTGAGCCGTTTGCAAACACAGGTGGTAATCTGAGATAAGTTGGAAAGCACAGGGGGCATGTACATAATTAAGCCTATTAAATAATATCTTTAATTTTCAAAAACCTTAATTAATTCAAATCATTTTATTTTGTTGCTTATTTCAATTTATTTTTTTCATTTAAATTTATTTCCTCTTATTTTAATCATTTAATCTCCCCCAAATAAAAGTCAACTCTTAAATCATTTCAATATTCCCGGGGTAAAATTGTCTTTTTTCTTGAATAATTTAATGTTTAACTAATAATTTAGGATCGGGTTGTTACATGAAAATTCGTGGAAATCTTGAGCACAAAGGTATTTCATGTACCCAACAATCTTCCCAAAATCTAACTTTGTTCCACCTTCCCACCATAAACTGACAGCTACATCAATCAAAAGATAGTGTTCAGAGTGAATCCAGAGCTACTAACATTTTATTTGGACATCAGCATAACCTCATCCAAAAAACAGATTAGAATGGCAGAAAAACAATCAAAATGGTAGACATGATAGCTTTTATTGCTTACAAACAGAGCACAGACATCACAAAAAGGTAAAATTAATACCAAACTTAAACCATTTCAATTATCAGCCATACATGTTGGACCCAACAAACAATAAAAACTAAAATTAAAAAAGGAAATTGGACAACATCTGAAGGTGAATAAATTGTGGGAATAAATATCAGTTAAGGCATTAGGGATTACCTCACATCCTTTCCAAGAATACTGATTTTTGCCTCCCAGCAAGACCCTGAAAATTAACTAAATGAAATAGAATTCGTTAAAATCAACAAGTACGCAGGACATCACATAATTCGGTAGTCCAAAATATTATCCTATGTAAAGCATTGTCTGCAAAGAATAAGAAATATGTAAGACCCCTAGCTTTTATCACTTGCTTCTTCTTATCCACTTGCTAGCGAGGAGACAGTTCAGTAATTGATGAGGCTTCATTAACCGATTGTTGGACAGAGTTGCTCTTGGACTGATCTCATCCTACCACACCTGACATCTCCAATTCGATCATAAAAAAGGGTGGCTGTGTGGGTACTGGGAGACTGAGAGAGCTGCTAGTAAGCATGAGAATAACTGAAGCCATAGTTGGCCTTTCGGCAATAGTTTGTTGCACACATAAAAATCCAATTTGGATGCATCTCATTATTTCATCAGTTCTTGAACCAGTTCTCAAGGTGGGATCTATTAGATTTGAAGCTGTCCCTTCCTTCCAATTTTTCCATGCCTGCATGATTTGTGAATGCGAATAAACACAATATTAGAGAATAGTTTTACTTCATTCTTTCGTGTAAATTGGTCCGAATGTTTCTTTACTTACATAGCTTAGAAGATCCTCATTCTCTTCATGGCGGGAAGAACAAAATTTTTGTCCACTTATTAGCAACATTTTACAGGATGAGTGACCTACTGGGAAGTTGCTCGTGAGCTCCCAGAAACAAAACCGTGCGGGCTGGTGAGAATGTAGCCAGACCCAAAGCGGACAATATCATGCTAGGGGAGTCGGGTCGTGACAAAATATCACTGAAGTTAAAGACATACCCATACCCCACAAGGCAACAGGAAGCAAAACTAAGCAAATCCTTCTCCCTCTTATAGGATCTTTCCCATGATCTCCCAATGAAACTACGGAGAAAGCAGACCGGGAGAACTCAAAATCACAAGAGATGGTAGCAAATACCCACATTCAACATAAAAATAAAAAATTGAACCCAAATTGATTCAAGCCATAAAATTGGTAAACATAAAAAGAAAACCATAATCACAACTCTATCCAAAACGCTGACCATCAAGATCTGCGTCAAAATGAAACATTAGATCTATAAAGAGAATACCTAGAATCGAGTGAGAGAGGGAGATCTGGAATCGCAGAGGGGAAGATAGGGGAGAGAAAGACAGAGAGTAGAGGCTGAGATTTTGGGGTTATGGGTTTCTAGGTTTGGTTTGATATGAAGCCTGCGAAGGAGAAGGCGATGGGCACTGTGGTCGTCTTCGACATTGCTCGCTGATGGCTGGTGGACGATGAAGAGCTTAGCAAGAGAAAGGACGATGACCAACTTAGGTTTTTTTTGCTTTCTTTTTTGGGTCATTTAGGTTTAGTTGAAAGAGAGAAGCGATAAATATCCCAAAAAATCAACGACGGCAAAGATGGAGGACATAGAAGAAATCAATGACGAACAATCGTTTCTGAAAAAGAAAAGAGGGAGTCTGAAACTGCGAGCAAGCGCACACACGCGAGAGAGAGAGAGAGAGAGAGAGAGAGAGAGAGAGAATGAGAGTTAAAAATTTGGGAAATTAACTTACATAGTCACTAAAGATAAGCCTTAATCAGAAATAATCACTTTATAAAACTGAACCACAAATACTCACTTTCTAACTTGAAAGTACCAAATTACCTTCCATATAAATACTTCAATATTCACCTTTTGTCCCTTCTCAAAAATTTATTTCTGATCTGAACCCAACTCTCTAGCTCTTCTCTTCTTGCCGCTCGTAGAGCATTTGAGACCAGCACCTTAATTCAAGAGGAGACCACGCCCACCCCTCAAAAGCCTACACAAAGAAGAAATATAAGGAATAGAAAAGGACGTGTCAACAACAGCAATTCGCTAGACCCATTGCCACCAGGTGCTCTCTTCTGATCCTTTGTCCCTTTGTCTGTAATTTTGAGTTTTGAGTTCTAAGCTAATTTTCTCCTTCTTTAATACCCAGGAATCATTTTGCAAAATAACACAACAAATAAAAATCAAATCTTGATTTTCTTTAGCATATAAATAGGTTAGTTAGGTCAGTTTTTGCTTCAATTTTGATTTGTAGGGGTTTGGCTTTGGGGTTTGGCTTCTAATCCTGTTTGTTTGAAAGGAAAGGAAATAAGTTTTTGGAAAAAATTTCACAAGCAAATAATTTGCAATTTGAGAGTAAAAGGACTGTTTTTTATGTAATTCATTCTATTTTGAATTTTGAAATAGGTTTCATAGCTCACTTTATACACCATACAAGTTCACCAGTTCTGCATTGGTTTCATTGCTTTTGGCTTTTTGAACACTCCTGAGAGTGCACTAGTAAGGGTGAGGAATTTTATAGGCTACTTCAAGACCAATGCATGGCTTTGTTTTGTAATTGCCAATATATATGTATATATGCCAATAAATTTGATGGTATGCAACCCTTGTTTGTAATTTTGAGTTTTAAGATATTTGTCCCCTTCTTCAATACCCATAAAGTATTTTGCACAAAATAACACGAAACATAAAAATCAGATCTTAAGTTTGTCTAGCCTAGAAATAGGTTAGTGAGGTTAGTTTTTCCCTCAATTTAGATGCTTAAGTGTGAAATTTTAGGTCTTTGAATTGGATTTGACTGACATTCTGGGTTAGGTTAGTTTTGCTAAGAACTTAAGTTTTTTATTTTGATTTCCAATTTGGTATTGTAAAGAAATGAGTATACCTTATGATGGGGATGCAAATAGATTGATTTATTGATGTTATTTGCAGAAATGGAGACTGTTGGCATATTGGTATTCTACAACGGAAGCTGGGTTCACAAGGATAAGATTGAGAGTTATGAAGGTGGCGAGGCTAAAGGCGTAATAGTATCACGGAACATAACCTTTTCTGAGCTTGTTGACCGCATTTATAAGATCACGAATGCAGATCTCAACAAATATTGTGTCACACTAAAGTATTCAGTTCCTCTATCATCATCTACCTATAAGCACCTAAAGGTTGAAGACAATGATGACGTTCAATATTTTCTAAAGTACAACATGGGCGTTATGACCTCTAAAGTAACCCCTTTATTAGCAACCCTCAAAATTATAGAAGGACATGGTATTTATGGCTGCAATGGCATTGTAAGCATTGGGAGTAGCAATGCTCCCCCTGCAATTGTTGTGAGAGATATGAATGAGGTAATTGGGGATAGCGGAACTGAAAATGGTGTAACTGGTTTTAATTGGAAAGATTGGGTTGAAGATGTTAATTTTGAATGTGTTGAAAACATAGTCGCAGATTTTTGTGTACCTAGGAATGAAGAGGAAGCGTACTCTACACCAAACGGGCATCCTCATCGAGAAAGCAATTTCCAAACCTCCATGGTGCAGGTTACACAAGTGCAATCTGAAACTCCGCAACAATCAAGTTGGACTCAAATGCATACAAGCCAGGTTCACTTGGTGCATGGTAAAAGTGTGGAAGATATTGATTATGGATTGCTGTCCGACAGTGTGAATTGGAGATTGAAGGATTCAGGCACCATTTATACTCTAGCTGATATCAAGAAAGATGTCAAAACAAATTTTGGGGTGACCATAGGCTATGCTACAGCATGGAGAAGCCGAGAGTTAGGTTTCAAAACAATTAGAGGGTCTGCAGAACAGTCATATTCCCTTCTCCTTTCGTATTGTTATGAATTGGAGTGTACACATCCTGGAACTTTGACATACATTGAGACTGATGCAGCCAACCACTTTTTATATTTTTTTTTATGTCAATTGGTGCATGCATAAGAGGATTTAAGTCCTTAATGCGTCCTGTGATTGCTGTTGATGCTACCCATTTGAAGTGCAAGTACAAAGGTGTTTTGTTTGTTGCCACCGCATTTGACGGAATCGTAATATATCTCCTCTTGCCTTTGGGATTGGAGATTTAGAGACGGATGGGGCTTGGGAGTGGTTTTTCACGAAACTACATTGTGCAATTGGTGTTTGCTCGAATCTTGTTGTCATTCTGATCGAAATCTTAGCATAGAAATGGGTTGAAAAGAGCTTTTCCTAAGGCAGCACATGGTGTTTGCTTTTATCACTTGAAGGGCAATATGAAAGCCTCATTTAAGTTGAAGAAGCAGGATCCAATATTGGGGTTTTTTGTGCAGGCAGCTAAGTCTTACCGTCTAGCAGAGTTCAATCGTTATTTCTCCATGATAAACAACAAGCGAGTGCAAACTTATCTAGTACGTGCAGGGCTCCATAAGTGGTCTCGAGCCCATTGTGACGGACAACGATATAATGTCATGACAACTAATATTGCAGAGTCCATTAATTCAGTTCTTCGTTTTGCAAGGATGCTTCTGGTGGTACACTTGATCGAGGAAATTAGGAATATGCTTCAGAATTGGTTTAGTCAACGTCGAGATTTGTTAATGAAATGTAAATCTATGTTGTGCCCTGATTTAGGCGAAAAGAAATTGAGGAAGAGATTAGACGCTGCTTCAAGGATGAATGTGGTTAAAATCAATGATGTGGAGTATAATGTGCTTGATGGTGATATGAATGGTCTCGTGCACTTGCAAAACCATAGTTGTACGTGTAGGAAGTTTGACTTAGAGCAACTCCCATGCAAGCATGCTATTGCGGTATGTCAGCACTTGAAATTGAACCCATACTCATTTGCCTCTTCGTATTACACTCGAGCTACATGGGCAGCTGCATATGTTGAATCCATTTATCCTGTACCACTTCAAGGGACATGGGTTATTCCCAAAAATGTCCTCCCCCCTATTTCAAAGGTTATGTCGGGCCGTCGTAAGATGCAAAGAATACCTTTTAAAGGAGAGGACTCACGAGAAAAAAAAAAATGCTCAAGGTGCAGTGTGAAGGGCCACTATCGAAGTACATGCAAAGAAGCTATCCCCATCACTAACAAGAAGCAGATCATTTAGATATTACAATTGTTTAGTTTGTATTTCTCATTCCATTAAGCAGTGATCTTTGCTACCTAACTTTATGTAAAATTTGTGTTCCTAACATGTCGTTGTTTTTGTTTTTGGAAATAGGTATCCTTGTAGGTACCCAATTGTATAGATCATGATGCAGGTATTTATAACATTTACTGAATGCGTATGTATCATGTTTATGTGCATGATTGGTGTAGACACGTAAAGCAGGTGGCTAGAAATTTAAATTGAATTGTGGTGCAATATAAGGGCAGTGGAATAAAGAGGCAATACAAAGAATTCATAGTCTAACTACAATTTGTTTGTCAAGACAGACATTAAGAAGAAAAAAAAAGTGCTAAGACTGCAATAGAGCAGCGATAGGAACACAATAAAAGGGCAATAAGAAGGCAATACGTAAACCTGGAAGTCCAACTTTAGCTCTATAATTATCAAGACAGAGGTGAAAAAGGAGTTAAAACAACAATAGAGGTACAACAGGAAAGCAATATAAGGGCAATAAGAAGGCAATACTTAAACTTGATAGTCTTTCAACTCTATAATTGCAAAGACAGAGGTGAAAAACAATGTGCTAAGACAACAATAGAGGAGCAATATGAACACAATAAAAGGGCAATAAGAAGGCAATACGTAAACCTGGAAGTCCAACTTCAGCTCTATAATTGTCAAGACAGAGGTGAAAAAAGAGTTCAGACAACAATAGAGGTATGATAGGAAAGCAATATAAGGGCGATAAGAAGGCAATACTTAAACATGATATTACAGAGACAGAGGTGAAAAACAAGGTGCTAAGACAACAATAGAGGAGCAATATGAACACAATAAAAGGGCAATAAGAAGGCAATACGTAAACCTGGAAGTCCAACTTCAGCTCTATAATTGTCAAGACAGAGGTGAAAAAAGAGTTAAGACAATAATAGAGGTATGATAGGAAAGCAATATGAGGGCAAGAAGAAGGCAATACTTAAACATGATATTGCAAAGACAGAGGTGAAAAACAATGTGCTAAGACGACAATAGAGGAGCAATAGGAACACAATAAAAGGGCAATAAGAAGGCAATACGTAAACCTAAGTCCAATTTGAACTCTATAATTGCAAAGAGAGAGGTGAAAAACAAGGTGCCAAGAAGGCAATACATAAACCTCTTAGTCCAACTTTAGCTTTATAATTGTCAAGACAGGTGAAAAAAGAGTTAAGACAACAACAGAGGCATAATAAGAAAGCGCAATACATAAACTTGAGTTTACATTGCGAGGCTACTTATTAGCTAAACATATACAGATGCAGTTTCTCTATCCATTCTAGTTTCATGGTTACTAATTAATGAAACCACAACTAATAAATAAGGAATAACTGATCACATCAAAGCACAACTAATATCCAATTCCACTCCTATTACAACAATGTTTATGTGGTGGAACAAAACTGGTGGCGCATCTTCATTCCTCAAGCCATCTTCTAACCGTGTAGAAACTAGTAGCTTCTGTCCAATCTCGAACCTCCAAGTGATGAGCTGTGTTATGAAGGTGATATTCTCTCGCATGTGTAGTTCCCCACTCC